GTTCCTTTTGATACAGTAAAAACTTATTCATTTATATTTCTTTTGCACTATCATTTTTAAAAGCATATTTTCTAAGCACAGAACACCCAAAGAGGGAGTGCTTGAGAAAGCTTAAAATAAGTTTGTTTCCTTATGTAACTCCAACATGCATTTCACTTCTATTTTTTTCTGTTCTATTAAAGGTGATTTTTCATTTTTTTTTTTTTTTTTTTTTTTTTTTTTTAGTCTCACTTTGTTGCCCAGGCTAGAGTGAGTGCCGTGGCGTCAGCCTGGCTCACAGCAACCTCAATCTCCTGGGCTCAGCGATCCTACTGCCTCAGCCTCCCGAGTAGCTGGGACTACAGGCATGCGCCACCATGCCCGGCTAATGTTTTGTATATATATATATTTTAGTTGGTTAATTAATTTCTTTCTATTTTTGGTAGAGACGGGGTCTCGCTCAGGCTGGTTTCGAACTCCTGACCTTGAGCGATCCGCCCGCCTCAGCCTCCCAAAGTGCTAGGATTACAGGCGTGAGCCACCACGCCCGGCTAAAGGTGATTTTTTTATGTTGTTTTGTGATTTGTTTGCTTATTTGATGAGTTGGTGGGATACCACTGAGAAACAGGAAGTTCAAGTCATCTTTGTCTTTTTATCTTTTCCCCATTTCTACAAACACATACAGAGAATTTTAAGGTTTCTTTTCATTCTGTATCTTTCCCTTCACCCACCTGTAGCTGGGACAGAGTGGACAAAGTCTGGGAATTAGACAGTTGAGGAACATAGCAAGAACATCTTTGTAATGTCAAAGTTTACTAAAGAATTCAATGGAAAACATTTTCTCTAAATTTATATTAAGAATTTTTTTTTAGTTTTGTATTTTTACCTCCAGAAGAATATAATTTTATATATATATATATATGTATATATATATATATATATAAAATCCAGAATGGTCTTTTTGGCAGAAGTGATACTCCATAATAAACACTGGAAAATTCTCATCGAAATCATCATTTTAACTCAAAAAATTTTTACCTTTCAACATGAAAACTGGAAGTACATGACTGATTTAGTTTCATCCAAGAAATTGGCACATCTATCTATTGAACTATCAACTATGTAGACATTCAGATTTATAGAAGTTAAGTTTATTAATATTAGCAATGTGTTAGTATTAATTTCTTGTAAAGCTGAAATTCATAACTGGTAGGATGTGGACAGATGCAATTCACAGATTATCCAATCATTTATTTGCTTTTATGGTGGGTTGATATTGAAAAAATTACCTAAATTTAAAATTAAGAAATCCTAATTGCATTTGACAAGAGCTTCTCTGGAAAAGCATAAAAGAGTTAGAGCTGAATAGTAGTTACTGTTTCTATATTCTCCATGTAACTCTAGTTTCCATTCTCTTGCAAAGTCTTTCCAATTTTGAAGTTGAGTTGCCCTCTAACATCCCAGATCTATTTTACTTGTTTATGTTACCTACGTGGTCATTATAAGCCTGTGTTTATAATCCCAGCTACAAAGCCTACCATTCAATAAGTAATTTTGAATAGTTGCTTCGTACTTAGTATTTTTCTAAGAACCATATGGATATGAATAAAGTTTAAGACCTAGTTCCTGTCAGGTAGCCTTTTGTTTTGCTGAGGACATACTAATTGCTTGGTGTAAAAAGTAAATGCATTGGGTAAATAGAACTTAATGTGTGGATACAATGTGTTGGAAGAGTGCATTACACAAAATTTGCAGATTTAAAAAATATTATCATTTTAAGATTAAACAAGTTGGAGGAATAGATTAACCAGTTAAAAATTTTAAAAAATACCCTTTATCTTGGGAATGTATGAGTCCTAATTGCTGGGTAGAAAACTAAGGTTAGATCAAATTTAGAGGATGGCTTTGAATTGCAAATCTGAGTAAAAATACCACTGTTTTATTATTGCATAAACATTGACTTTTTTTTTTTTTTTTTTTGAGACAGAGTCTTGCTCTGTCACCCCAGGTAAATTACAGTGGTGTCATCATAGCTCACTGCAACCTCAAACTCCTGGCCTCAAGAGATCCTCCTCCCTCACCCTCCTGAGTAATAGGGACTGCAGGCACACACCACCAAGCTCAGCTAAGTTCTCGATTTTTAGTAGAGACAGAGTCTTGCTCTTGCTTAGGTTGTCCTTGAACTCCTGAGCTCAAGTGATCCTCCCACCTTAGCCTCCCAGAGTGCTAGGATTACAGGCATGAGCCACCATGCCTGGCCTAACCTTGACTTAAGATTATGTCCATTCCCTGGACCCCACATGCACCTCTACTTCACTCACACCCTCAATAATAATTTAAAAGTTTTGCGTTTCTCACTAGAAATATAGCCACTCTCCTGTTTGTTTTGAGATGCCCTTGCCTGGTTAAGGCTTGAAAATAAATTGTAAGTCATTTATGAGTTAGTCAATAAAACCACCCCTCCCTTATTGCAAGCTATTTATAAAATGTGGCCCAAACATGTTTATTACTGATCAGCAGTTTCTCATTATTGCCCTGTCTCTGTCGATATGAACATTGATTAATCGTAATTGCAGTGTTGGCCAGAGTAGATTGATTAGAACATAAAGTAACAAGAATTGTACAAGAATGTCAAAAGGAAGGAACAATTCCATAGAACACTTGGAGGATATGCTGATTCACTGAAGGTAGAGGGCATATATTTCTGGAGCCCACAGAATAGAGAGAAGATAATCATTCTAATTTAAGAAATGAAATGGATTATTAAAAACAAATGTTAACCTCTCAGGTTTCTATTTTATATAGAATAAGTTACTTAGAAAAATATAACACTTTTTAAAAGTTTCTTACTGACTCTGACACTGTTTTTTATTGTCTTTATCTTTATTCTGAAAAGATTATAAAATATCAAGTTTGTGCATATATTTAATTTTCTAATATTTTTTCTAAATAAATAAAACAGCTCACTCGCCATTTTTCTTTTTGAGACAGAGTCTCAGTCTGTTGCCTGGGCTAGAGTACAGTGACATCATCACAGCTCACTGCAACCTGAAACTCCTCAGCTCAAGCAATCCTCCTGCCTCAGCCTCCTGAGTAGCTGGGACTACAAGCATGCACCACCAAGCCCAGCTAAATTTTCTATTTTTAGTAGAGACAGGGTCTCATTCTTGCTCAGGCTGGCCTCAAACTCCTGAACACAAGCGATCCTCTCACTTCGGCCTCCCAGAATGCTAGGATTGCAGGCATGAGCCACCGTGCCCGGCCAAAACAGGACTTTTTAAAATCATAAACACCTTATAGAAATCTTCTTTATTCTCCAAGTTTAATTACTCATAAATTAATTGAGTAGTGGTGTCACATGCTGAAATATTCCTAGGCAATGAGTATTTGTGAGTTCCCTGGAAAAGATGTATGTGCTGGTGTCTCAATATTCTTTGTGTTATATATTTGTCAATAAATTTGAGTAGGTACTGGGTTCAAGCCTCTAATTTTAACGTAGTAGTAGACTATAAAAACAAATTAAGGTGCTTTCTTTACCCTCAAAATGCTCCTAACATCCCTCAAATGAAATAAGACACACAGGAATTTATGACACAAAAGAAAATAGGACATAGCCAAAGTACTCTGAAAGTTTAAAGCAGGAAGAATTCATAGTTCCCTGGAAAAAATCCAAGAAAGCTTCTTGGAAAAAAAAATGTCCCTTGAGTCTGGACTGGAAGGATGTTGACCATCTTTTAATGGGCAGCTATTGGAGTGGAGGGGATTTCAGGGAAGAGGAAACAGCCCAAACTTAGGGGCAGAACAACAATGGACATCAGGTTTGGAAAGGCTTGGTATGAATGCCAGGGGCAGCAATCTTTAAAAATTCTCTAAATAAAAGCTTCAACGATAGCTTAAGTTGTCAGTTGGATAAATATGAAGCTGTTCTGGTCGAAGCCAGGGTGGGACTTCAACTCTGCTGACTCCTCTCTGACTAGCCTGTTCCCATCATTTCCAACATCACCTTTGTGGATTCTAAGGGGAGATCCCAGCACACAATTTTAATAAAGAGAATGAGTGAAAAAGAAGATTGAATAGAAAAAAGCAAGAGCGTATAGTAGATTGCAGATTGCACTGAATGAATAGCAACACTGTTGAAAATTACTCAGCAAAAAGTAGATGGAACTACTAGGAGTGATTTGCAGGTTTTTTTGTATTAACATAGTAATGACCTAATCAGAACTCCGCCTTGGGAAGATATATTCAGTTGCACTTCTAAGGAAATTAATCTCAAAAGTATTTAAAATAAAAGGTCATTATATTCTGAGTTCGGTTTAGAGATAAAGAAATGAAGAAACCTCTGACTGATTGGATGTAGGGATTTAGTGGAACCCGTGATCTGGTAACACTGATGAACACCTTTGCTTCTCTATGTCTGAAAGAACAGTGTTGCTATTAACAGACAGGACAGAAGGAATGTGCATGAAGCAGGAAGACTTTAATGTTTTCTATATTGAGTTTTTGGTACTAAGTGAATATACAGAGAAAGTGAGTGTGCTAGAAAGCTGTGAGTGCCTGAACTCATTGTCATAAAGAGTAGAAAATTATGTAGTAGAAGACTTCATTAAGAGGTTATATAAAGAGTAATAAAAAAAAAGACCAAGAACAAAATTCTTCATAATGAAAAATTAATTTGAAGTCCAATGGAGTTAATTTGTTTTTTTCTAGGATCTGAATTAAGTTGTAAAATTATAGTTGTTTAAGTATAAAACAAAGCACTTTCAATAAGGATTCATTTATAAAAGACTTTCCTAGAAAAGTTAACTCTAATCTTTTCTTTAAAAGTCACTCCTCTGGCTTTGCATTCAAATACTTAGCCCTGCAGACAAAGCTTTCTGCTATTCACTTAGCTCCCAACACATTGGCAGCTGCAACCTTTGTAGGCCAACTATGAGTGTAGACCTTAAATCAATTAAGCACAATCCATCAAGTCAATTACAAAACTCTAAGACATTACAACTCTCAAAGACTTCTTTGTTTTCCTTAATGAAAAAAGAGAAGACAAATTTCTTACTCACCAGTTTAGTTTAAAGAGAAAAAAAAAATCTGCCTAGACCTTAAATCCCACATAGGGCATCGACTTCTCTATATGAATAACAAATCTGCAAAATTATAAAATCACATCCTATAAGTGATTTTTTTTAGGCCAATGAGTAAAAAAGGAGATAACTGTGTAATACAGCAAATCAAGAACTATTCTGTACCTGAGACAAGCTACTGCTTATTTCTATTTCCATTATTTCTTCCCTTGTAACCATTTCTGCAAGTACTATAAATGATAATGGCTTTAATTAAATACTTTAAAAGTCAAACCGCCTCCCAATTTTGCTCATTTTAAAGATGGAATATAATTAGATTTGACTTAAATACATACTTTTCTTAATTTTATTCATCTTATTTACAATTCTGCTTTTGAAACCTTCTGCTTTTTGAAATGTTCTTCTCATTTTTTGTTAGGTGATTCACAGAGACAAAGGAGAATTCTACCCCAGTTACTTGGAGGCATCTTTTGTGAAACTTTGATCACCCTGAATGGTTGGAAGGACAGAGCAGGCAAACTTATTAAAGAGGTTAGTGATGATGATTTAAAGGGTTCTGGAGTGAGAAATGTATGAAAGACACTTAGCATAGAGTTCAGCATGGGATCAGCACTGAAATAAATGATTCCTACTGTCACGGTTGCATTTCTGACGATCAGGTTGTTCATAATCACACTTTTGACAGAGCTATTGTATTAGACATAAAGGTCTGAAAAAGGTCAATGAAATGTTTTACCAGTTGTCTCTTTATAACCTCCCACCCTTTTTGGGAATTAAAACCTGTATTCCTGCCAGGGATCAATAATCAAAGGGGGAGAAAAATGTTCTTTACTGTTTGTTTTCTAATATCTTAAACAACAGGAGAGGGCTCAATGGAATTGTCCTGACAAGAATCACTGGCAGAGACACCGTCAAAGCGCGGCCGGGAGCGGAGGCGGAGATCCCGGGGCACAGCCGCTAGGCCTCTATCTGCCTCCAGTGACTACCGAGACGCTTCTCCCTCTGCTTCGGGCGTGTCCCGGGCAGGGGCGCTCTCAGGGGGCCGGGGGTACTACTCTGGAAAACCCACGCTCTGATCCGAAGAGCCCAGCCTGCAGTCGTCCCGCACACTGCGCAGGCGCGCCCCGGCGGCTGCCATACCCAGCGTCCTCTCTGGCCGGAAGTCGGCCCAGCGCGTCTTCCGGGCATCCCTGGCGAAATCACCACACTTCCTCTGCCTGCGTATACCGTGAGAGTCTAGGTCATTTCTTGGCTGGAATTAATTAATCACCAGGCAGTTAGTTTATATTTACCCCTATCCTGAGGCCAGCTGGATTAATGAGGAAGGACTAGGTACAAGAGCTTCCTCCTGAGTCACCCTAAGGCAGCGGCACCTGGGAGATTCAGGGAAGGAGATAGCCCAGGCTTCCGGTAGGGGCTGTCCACGAGGGCAGGGCTGGGCTTGAGCAGTAAAGCCTGGAGTTTGGATGAGATAGCCTGGATTCTCCTAGACCTCCCGCCAGTTCTGCCTGACCTTGAGCAAAGCATTTAACTCTGCTGGGCCCCGGTTTCTTCAGCAAACACTAATGCTCCCTGACAACCATTTCTCTCCTTCCTCCCTCCTCCTCCTTTCTTCCCAACCTCCAACAAAGCAAACTCAGAGCCTGGCAGACACTGGAAATCCTTGCAGGGCCAGATAGTTATTAAATGTCTCCCAGACACAAGTATGTCCACTAGTTGAATGCAATTCAAAGCATATAGTTATGGGTGCATTGTATTTACTCTGTCAAGAGAGGTTCATGTTTATATGTTTAATGAAATGTGGTGGGGGCTTCAACGCTAAGAATGGCCCAGGCTTATCAGGTCTTAAAATGGCCCTGTGGCATTTGAGTCCTATCCTTCCTACTTCTCAGCGATGTGAATTGGGAACAACTCCTCCCTCTCTGAGCTCATTTCCTTATAGGTACAGCAGGGAAGATGATGCATTGGGCAGAGTAAGGAGGTGGCTTGTTGAGCATAGTAGCAAGCAATATTTGGAACTGAGGCCCAGGTGATTCTTGGGAAGCCTCAGCCTTGCAAACTGAATCTGGGACAATAAATCCTGAGACTACAGCTGATAGGAAGCAAGTTTACAGGGATTCAGAGTGCTAATTGGGTTGGGGGAAAGCAGGAGAAATGAGGAGGACATTAACCACGATCCCAGCCTAGAAAGTCTGGAACTTACTCAGCTCGGTTCCTGCACTTACCTGCATATTTAACAACCAGTTTTTTTTACAGTCCTTAAACAATCATAGCAGGCTTGCTGGGGACCCTGGAAGCCCACTGTGTCCACAGGCATTAACTCCTTAATTGCTAGATTTGAGGGGAAGTCTAGTGGAGGGACTGGAGCAGCTGGGCAATAAGGGGCACCTGGGGGGCTTGGGGAAGTGGCTCATTATCAGCCCATAGCTGGCACTTTGGCCCTGTTAGAGCATATTGGCTGGAAATCTGCCTTGATTAGGGAGCAGTGGGTACCAGGTGTGGGGCAAGTGGAGGTTGGCAGTACAGCTCGGTGAGCAGGTGAGGCTGCACTCCCTGGCACCTCAAGGCTGTGGTCAACCAGTGGAGTCTCTGCTCCTTGGGGCTCCTGAAGAGCCACACACACTCCCCTCCCCATAGAATTTCTCTAGGATTTCTGGTCCTACCAGCTTTGGGAAGTGGGAAGACCCTTTCCCCTTGCTAAAACAAATAAAATAAAAAAGAGTATCATTGTCACCTGAGATAAGGCCTACTGAAACCACCAATTACATAGTTAAACAATAGCTCTAAGCCATGACATGTGACACTGGTAGACCCCAGCCCAACTGCTGAACCACCCCCCTTTAAAAAAGCCCTGTTTTTCTGCTTAAAAGCAAGATGGCAGCCTTTGAGAGGCAAGTCCACTGCCCTCCTCATTTGCCAGCAAATTAATAAATTTTTTCCTATCCCTCAATCCGCTTGTCCTAGTTCTTCATTCTCACTGATTCAGCCTTGGGAACAAGCACCCAACTTCCAGTAACACTATTTCATTTCTCCACAGATGATTGCAACAAACTTTCTGTTGTTGTTGTTAACCAAGTTTTGTCACAGATTTTATTTTCTCCCTATGATCCACTACAGAGCTTATGTAGCAGATATTATATTCCCCATTTTACAGATGAGGAAAACGAGATCATGAACAATTAGGTTTTGCCCTTGGTATCGAAGGAAGAAGTAGCTGAGCTTAAACTAAAATCTGATTTCTCAACAGATACTCATTTTAATAAATCATGTCATTTAAAGTAGGAAAAATAAAACAAACATTTGTATCTCCTTCTGTAAATGTTATTTTATGTTCTGAGTTCAGTAGAAAAATAGGGTTGTGTGTTTTATTTGTTAAACAACAGAAATGTTGTTGTTGAAAAGCTTTAAGGCTTTTTCTGTTAAGCTTAAAAGAACAGTCTTAAAGAAGACTTTAAGACTTCTTTAAGTCTTAAAGCCTTTAGACTTTGGCTTTAAGTCTTAAGCCAAAAGACTTAAAGAAGAGTCTGATAAAACTGGTGTTGATTGGAAATTTATGCTTCCACTTTACAGTTGTGTAATGCACTTAAATATTTTTAAATTGTCTTCCAAATTATCGTTTAACTCTCCTTTTCAATTGCTAAGCAGGAAACAACTCACCATTCTAGAAAAGGAGACACTGAATCAATGGCAGGTTTGTATGATACAACTCTCCTGTTCTCTTACAGAACAGCCAAGAAAGGAAGTAGTTCTTAGCTTTCCTGGTCCTTTCTCTCAAATTGTGTTTTATTTCCCTCACTACAAGCTAAGTTGAGGAAGAGTGTAGTTGTATTTGAAGTTATTTTGTTGTTTTCTAAAAAGTTTGGATACTGTTGGTGGTTCTTAGAGTTATTTAAATGGTGGCTATGACTTTTCTGTTTGAAAAATGTAGGAAGATCCTGCTGTGTGAATTGGAAGACTTGAACAAAGTGAATATGACTTCATGAATACTGATTTATTGCTCAACACAATGGTGTCTTAATTGAAGAGCCACCTGTCTAGCAGCAGAAGAATTTTGTTATTAGGTTTACTATTTTTTTTAAATAAACAAGAACATGTAATTTTTTTAATGTGGAAATTTACACTACTCCTTCCTTAGAAAACAGACTTGTTTCATTTTTTGTTAATTTGTAAAATATATGAATATTGTTATTTTTCGTTTCATCAAACCATAATTTTGAAAGAAACATGTCCATTATTCATAACTAAATCCTTAATAAAAAACCTAGAATTCCACAAGAACCAAAGAATTGGCAAGTATATGTGAAAACTAGTCTGGAAAAATTTTGTTTGATTTATAAGAAGCCTCTTGTCTCTACATTTAAATTTATCCATGTGCCCCTATAGTCATCTGTCAGACTGGGAGAATTTCCAGATAATCAAAATGTCACAGAGTTAGTACTTTTAATTTTTATTTCATCTCCTGCAAGTATGAACTCTGATTGTAATTACTGCTTCATCTGTTCTTGAATGATTTTGTTTTATCAGACAAAGACAGTGCTTTGACGACCACACTGATGGAGAATAAGGAAACTGCTTAAGATGGGTAACAATAAGAATGCTATGTTTTGGGAAACAGCAAACTACCTGAAACTATAGCTTATACAACATGCATCCTAAAGTCATAATTAAGAGTTGAATATTTAGCATCCACATCTTACCTTGACACCAGAGTCATATGTTTTTTTTTTTTCTGGTTAAAATATTTGATTGGAAAGGAAGAAATATATAGAGGGGGAAAAAAAACTCCAATGGAAAAAGCAAATTAGCATGTAGAAGAAATCTAATTCAATAGGACTGTTCAATTGAGTTAACTATATTATTTAATAAAATACAGAGATGTGAAGAATATCCCTCTCTGGCCTTATTCTACCAGTGTTACTACATTTGGGTTAGATGAGCAGTCCCAGCCTTTCTCCCAGTTGTATCCTTTGTCAGATGGCCGGAGGAAGACTGTTTAGGGTTGTATGATACTTTTATACTACTTCAACCAGAGCTCAATCTTAATAAAAAAAAGTTTATATAAAACCCAAGTTTTATTTTTTACTTACTATATATAGCTATGTGATGCTAACCAAATAATTTAACATTAATATTTTAAATTGTTCATCCATTAAAAACTATGGAAACTCCTGTCCTACCATGATGTGGAGTTATTTTGATGTAGAAATGAGATGATATAATTTTTGATAAGTCTGAAGTATCATAAAAATAAGTGGTAACAAGTGTTAGCTATTTGTTAAATGCTATCGTAGAAGTCAGCTTTATCTCAAGCTGATAGGGAGGACAGGCAGAAGACACAAATGGTGTGAGGAAAAGGGAATAAGAAATGAGCAGAGGTGAATGTGGATGAGCATTTTATTGAATAATGGAATTTTGATATTATGGAAAATCCTGAATTTTACCCACTTCAAACCTTTTTGTTTGATGCAACAGCCTAGAAAAGTAAATAAGAGTTGTACCCAATGTCCCACAGCTGATGAATAGCACAGTTTGGATTAGAATTAAAGTCTTTGGAGTCTGAGCTAGATGTTGTTTCCTTATGCCATTACACCACACTGCCTTGCTTGTTACTTGCAAAAACCCCCAAGAATTAGAAGACAAATTTCTTTGGAGGAATGTGTAGTGACATCACACAGACTCATATAATCCTGAGATCTTAAGGTAGAAAACATCCTTTGAGTTCATCTAACTCAAAAAATTATGTCATATATTTCCACTCTCCTTGGCAGATGATGATCACTCTTTATAGTTATACCTCTAGAGAAAGAGAGGAACATTTTCATTACTGTTTGCAAGAAATACATACAAGTAGGTGATTCTTCTTTATACATGCATATGATTGTAGGTTTAAACTCTGGAATGGTATTAAAACCACTCAACAACTTCTCATATCACTCTGATTTAAGTCCCAAGGTTTTGCCATTGCCAACAAGGTCTGCCATGATCTTCTTTGTTCCCATGTATCTCCGAGTCCCCATCCTTTCTTACTCAGCTCCAGACACACCCACTCCCTTCTTGCTGTTCCTTAACCCCTTGCTGTTTTCCCAAATTGATGCCTTTTGCTTGCTGCTGCTTCTTCCTAGAAAGTGCCTCCTCCTAACATGACTTTCTATTTCTCATCAAGTAGGTTTCTCCTGAAATGCCTCTTCATTATAAAAGACACACTTGACCATCCTACCAAAAATGGGATCCCTCTTCACCCCACCATGGTGTCCCCCTTATATTACTTTGCTTAATATTTATTTAATGTTTGTTATTTTTTTCCCTATACCATCATGTAAATTCTTTGAAAGTAGGAGTTTGTTTTATGTAGTACTTTATGTATTCTCAGTACCTAGAACAGACCCTGGCACATGAGAGAAAGAAAAAAAAAACTTCCAAAGAATCTTAATATTCTTTAACAGAATCCCTTAGTGCAACTTTAGATATTTTATAAAGCCACCTAGGAGAAATTCTATCAGAAAGGATCCATTAACTTTCTATATATTTAGAAAGAAAGACCTTGATTTCCCTTACGTAATAATAATTTCAATCATTTCAATTACTGCATAATAATTCCCAAGTATATTTAGAATTCTTAATCATGAACATGGTATACTTCAATGAATCTGTCTATGAGAAACATCTACACACAATGATAAATATTCAATCAATTAAAAATGTTTTTAAACAACCAGATGTTTACAGATATGTAAAAAACAACTGTTCAAGATTTTACTAAATAATTTTTAGTGATCATCTCACCATGAGTAGGTGATAGGCTTACATACTTGTGATTTATGGATTTGAAACATTTCCTTATGGTGTTTAGTGGCTGGCAGAGATTACAAAATTAGTTGCTGCTGACAATGATGGTGATGAAGAATTGGTAATTTTTATATCAGTGTTTATGATGATGAGAAAGAGAACAAGAGGAAAAAGCAGAGAAAAAGGAAAAGACACTATCAGATGCAAAATACATTTCTTAATTTTGAGAATGGCCAGGAAAAATGAGGAGCTGGAAAATATTAAAGTCCCAAATACATAAATAACTAAAAGATATTCAATAAGCATAAAATGGAATAGACCAGTAAACAGAGAAAACCTAAAAAAAAAAAGAAAAAAATGTAGTCAAAGAATTTCCTCCCAAAATAGCCTCAGGTCTAGATAGTTTTATAGTCCAGTTCTTTGAGCTTTCAAAAAAGAAATAATATCTTTTTTTAATATATAAGCCCTCTGGAGCATAAAGAAAAAAATAAAAAGCAAAGAAAGTTCCCAATCTGTTTCATACACTGAGCATAACACTGGTAAGAACATCTGAGAGAAGACAACATCAGAAGACTTCAGACCCATAACAATTACAAACAAGGAAATAAAAATGCTAAATAAAATCTGGTACATTGAATTAACCAATGTATTAAATGAAGAATATATTATGTACAAGAAGAATTTGCACTAAAATGCAAGAATATTTAATTTCAGGAATTTTAGTAAAATTGATCACAATATTTTAAAAAAACTTTTTTTGCCTGACCATTTGAATTGATTTTAAGAGCATTTAATAAAATTATTGGTTTAAAAAATTTTCTTAGGACTTATACTTCTGATTCATAGCCAAGAGTATCTACCCTAACTCATTTCCAATACCACATCTAGCAGTGAAACACTAAAAGCAATTTCATTAAAGTCAAGGAATAGACAAAAATCTTCCCTTTCATATTTACTGTTTCAAAGTATTTCAAAATTTCTAGCCCATATATAAGAATCAGGGAGAAAAGACCTCTGTCTTTGAAAGAAGGGAATATATTCTGTGTTTGTGCAAGTTAATGGACACCTAAATTATCCAAAAGGGACACCTAGAAAAATCTGAGTAAGATAACCGATTACCAAAAACTATACCAAAGTAATTCAGTTTCTTACATAACAACAATAGTATATTAGCAAATACAATAAAAGACTATTGACAATAGCAAAAGTTACATAAAATACCTTTGACAAAATCAGGAGGTAACCAAGGCCTATATGGCGATAACCACAAAGTTAACCTAAAAAAAATATTAAAACAGAATTAATGATTGGGAAGTAGACATATATATTTCTGGATAGTCAAATTTGACATTGTCAAGACATCAATCCTGTGAAATTGATTTATATATATTTGGTATAATGTCAATACTATATAATTTGCTGCTATTATATGCTTTTTTATATTTCCAAATGAACATTAAAATCATTTCAATACATTCTCCAAAATATTGAAAATATTATTGGAATTTTATCCAGTAGTTCTGTTGGGTGCTACAGTTGATTTTGTGGGAAAAAGCAAAGAACATCAGTGGTAAGTTATGGACAAAATGGTCAGCACTCTTTTATCAACATTTATTACTATCTCTGGGGAAGATAATGCAGCTTGCATAGATAAGGGGCATAAAGGAAAAAGTATGAGATGAAGAGCAGCATGGGTGGCTTTACTAAGTTCTACAAAATTTACAGACAATCTAATTAAGTCATTTATTCATTCAAGGAACATTTTTATGTGATGCCAACGTTGTAACCTTTCTGAGCTAAGTTTTAGGAGCACAAAGATGTCATAGTGAAAGAGTTACAGTGAGAGTTGCATGTATGTGTCCATGTCCATACCACCCTGAACGCACCCAATCTTGTCTTATTCCGGAAGCTAAGCAGGGTCGGGCCTGGTTAGTACTTGGATGGAAGGGTTTCACATATGAACTGATGCCAAATGATAGATCTGTGACAAAGATTTATATATATATAATTCTAGAGGCTACTATCTCAGTTGCAAAGAAACCGAAGAGAAGTACAACTTCCAGTTTCAATCAATGCTGTTAAGCACTTGTGATCTTATAGCTCTGCCCTGTCCCCTTTCACAACTAGCAACATTTGATGACTGTAAAGTTATAGCTTATAAATTAAAAGAACTAAGCCAAATATGCAAATTAACATCAATGCAATAAAATACATTTTGGCCAGTGCAACCCACATCTTTCCTTCCTAACATTAGCAGGCTGCTCTGGTGTCTGTATTCAGATACCACCAAGTAATCAGAACCTCTTACCCTAGAAAATACATAGGTGAGTGGACATTATTGTGTACGTAAGCTGTCTGCTTCCAGAGTGAAAACTTAAGTGTTTCTTTCTTTAGGGATTCAAAGCATCCTGCATTTTAATTCATGTGTGTACAAGTCCAAAGGGAAAACATTTTTCATTTGCCAGCACAGCAAGTAAATTTTGAGAGAATAGTTTAATTAAGATTAAACAAACATAGATTGTTCGTTGGCCTAAAGGCGTAAAGCTCTAAAAGCAAATTAGTTGCAGGATAATTGCTGTTGTGAAACAATATTTTCTTGTGCATAAACCCACTACAGTATATTATAAATTAAACTTCAAATGTTTCCATCTTTACAAGAAATTCATAGAATAACAAAACTAAGAAGATTCTTAATTTCCAAATATCTACCAGACCATTGTTATGGCTATTTGTTTATTTATTATTTTGAAAATGTAAGTGTTTGGCTAAGAAAATGAGTTAATAAAAAGATGAACAAACTTGGGTTTGTGAAAGAAAATACTGATTTAAAAATGAAATTATTCTCCCTTTGTGTTAAAACTGAATATCAACAATGAAAAGTGAAAGTATCAGCCTTAATATGGGTAGGAGGAATTCTGATTGAAACATATAAAGACAAGGTAGGCCAGGTCACACCTGTAATCCTAGCACACTGGGAGGCTGAGATGGGAGGATCGCTTGAGCTCAGAAGTTCGAGACCAGTTTGAGCAAAAGTGAGAGCCCCATCTCTACTAAAAAAATAGAAAAATTAGTCAAGTACAGGAGCATGTGCCTATAGTCTCAGCTACTCGGGAGGCTAAAGCAGAAGGATCATATGATCCCGGGAGTTTGAGGTTGCAGTGAGCTAGGATGATGCCACTGTACTCTACACTCTAGCCAGGGTGACAGAGTAAGACTTGTCTCAAAAGGAAAAAAAAAAAAAAAAGACAAGGTAAAAAATAAGATACATGAGGATGGAATCATAACTGTGTGTGTGCGTGTTTTTTTTTAAACTGGAAAGAAAAGTGGTACAAGCAATAACATCAATTAATTGAAGGCATTTCTATAACATTAACACTAAAATATCTAAAGGAGACACCTTTGTGAATAAAGGGTTAGAAGAGTTAGAGTCTGTCTTCTAAAAGAGAAACATTCCCCCAGATTCTAATGCAATAAATTAATATAATACAGTATGACGGTAGCTGAGGCAAAATCCTTTATTTTTATTAATGATCTCAAGAGATGATGACATGGCACCAAACCTCATCTCAGGAATTCCAAATATTTCAAATGTTTCTTTCTTTGAATTAATAAGCTGTTTAGCTTTTAATTGAGTAGAAACTTTAGGAGATGGTTCCAGTCAGGCTGGCCTGTCAGTACATTTTATTATTACATTTAAGGTGAATTTCAGATATTTGAAATAAACTCATCCTCATATGTATCCTGGTGAAGGGTTAAGAACAAGTTTGAATAAAGCAGGTTGACAAGCTGATCTTGAGGAAACAATTAATTACAAAACAGGTAGTGGTCCCTCTATGCACATCTGTATATAATTCATGACATACTAGAATTCCTAAGAAACAGGCAATTGAAATAACACCTATCTCACTTCAGGAAGTGGAATGTTTTATGCAAAAGACCCTCTGTCTCCTTTGGCAAATATTACACATAATCTTTGAAGAAGTATCAAAGTAATATTCTCTGGTTATAAAATTTAGAAAGCATTCTGTGAGACCCCAGATTTTTGTGTTTACCTATGTACATTACTTCTTAAAGGAAAAAAAAAAAGGAAACATTTTCCATTGTAACTTTGGGAAATGGGTGGGCTTATCCTCTCTGTGCTTGCTTTAAAATAAAATCTTTAAAGGAGAGTAAAAACATAGTTACTTTGCACTTTTTAAAAATGAATATTGAATGAGTAAGATATAAGCACTATGTGAGTGAGAAAGATGAATATTTAAATAGTGACATAAATAGTACAGGGTACATATAATATATGATGCACAATATTTTATGAACATATATGCATAAATATGTTTATATCTATGTATGTATATATACATACATTTATAATTAACTATTTGCTTGATAGCATGTGTTAAATGAAGCTGGAGAATAGAACATCTTGAGAAATTCAGAGAAAAGCTGATCTTGACACTTGATTAATAGGTCACTCTATAAGCTTCAAAAGGAGTATAAAGCCATTTTCAGTGAGTAGACCAGCTTTCCTCCTCCCTACCAGGGAGAGATGACACAGAGGTTAAGATCACGACTCTAGAATCAGCTTTCCTGGATTTGAATTGAAATCCTCCATCTATGATTTATATTACTGCAAGAAGGTTATTTAAACACTAGTTTGAAAATTAAGATAACCATATTTTGTAGATTGTAGATTGTAACCATATTTTGTAGTTAACCTTTTTTTGTAGATTTATTGAGGGGTGTTGGTTTTTGACATAATTAATGGAAAGAATTGAACACTGCCCAATTAATGTTTATTTATTATTATTGATATTATTGCTCCACAGGGGCTACTTTATTTTAGGTCTCATAATGGCTGGTTATCAAATACTGGGCTGTGTTGTGATCAAGATACAAAGGGAAAATGGTTATGATCCTGGCAAATATTATTCCACAAAACATTTTATAAAATCTCCCAGTTATTTTACTCAGAGAAAAAAATTGAGGGTCATTAGCAGGACTATTAATTGGAATGGGTATACCTTTTCCCAATTTATGAAATCTTCCCCTAGATGAACAGTATAAAATCATCACTGTGAACTAGATATGTAACTCTAATTTGCATCCAAGTTTTCTTCCAATTTATTAAAATGTGTTAGAAGTTAACTTTTCATAAATTTTGAAGTTATTTCCAGTTTCAACTTGCCCTCTATTTTCCAAATTGTCCAGATTTACTTTGACAGCTTAAGTTCTGGAGGAGAAAACACAGCCAAAAAGAAGAAAGCTGAAAGCAGAAATAGACATCCTTAGGTCCTTGGGTTTGTTTGCTCTGAGTTTCTTTTTCTTTTCTGTTCTTTTTTTTTTTTTTTTTGGCCCTTGAGGCAAATTCTAGTGAATTGTTTGAATGCAATACAACTCTATGCTTTAAGAGGTTTAAAAGCAGTACCCCCATAAGATCATAAATGATGAATAGATTGGTTCTTGATAGTAGAGCTATGTCTGTAGATGTGTGTATCTACACACACACACGCACACACATCTACAACTGGCTATAATTTACATTTATTAACACAAATGTCTTCATTCCCACCACATACTCAATAATTATAACTACTAGTATGAAACTTTTCAAACTTGTGTTTATTTTTTAAGCCTAGGGCTATGGTTTGGATGTGGTTTATTTGGTGTCGCACAATTTTATGTTGAAATTTGATCCCCAAACATTGGAGGTGGGGCCTAGTGGGAGGTGTTTGGGTCCTTGTGTCACATCCTTCACAAACGGTTTAGTGCTACTTTCCTGGGAGTAAGTGAATTCTTACTCTTAGTTCCCCTGAGAACTGGTTGTTGAAAAGAGTTGGCATTTCTTCCTTTTTCTTTATTTCCTCTCTTACCATGTGATCTCTGCATGCCACACCTGATAAGGGCTTAATATCCAAAATATGTATAAAACTCAAACAACTCAATAGCAACAAAACAAATAACCTTATTTAAAATGGGCAAAAGACCTGACTAGACATTTCTCAAAAAAAGATATACAAATAGCCAGTAGGTATATGAGATAATGCTCAGCATCACTAATCATCAGGGAAATGCAAATCAAAATCACAAAGAGATATCACCTCACTCCAATTAGAATAGCCATTATCAAAAAGACAAAAAATAAATTCTGGTGAGGATGTGAAGGCAAGGGAATCTTTATATACTGTAGATGATAACATAAATTAGTATAACCATTATGGAAAAGAGTATGGAGTTTCCTAAAAAAATAAAAATAGCACAACCATATAATCTATCAATC